TTGTAGCCCAGGCTGGTCTCAAACTTGCAACGATCCTCCCACCTCAGACTCCTGATTGCTGGGAGTACAGGCATGAGCCACCACGCCTGGCTACATTGAAATTTTTTAATCTGGGAATTTTTAACACCTTCTGTGATAGGACCTTGCTAAATTGCTAAATTGCCCAAGCTGGGCTTTAATTTGTAATCCTCTTGCCTCAGCCTCCCAGTTGGGACTACAGACATGGGTGAAGCACTATGCTCAGCTTTTTTTAAATAGTTCTTTCTGGTCATTATATGGCAATCAGCATTGGTCATGGTGCAGGAGGGTGTGCCGTTTACTGTGTAAATAAATTATAGTGAAGAGAGAGGTTCACTCTATCAGCCATTGTAGATCAGCCAGTTTTGGCTAGCCCCCTGGAGGAGCAGCCTCTGACCTGCTGGCATTCTGCACTTAGAGATAAACAAGAGTAGAGTTAAGTGGAAATTCAGCTAAGTAGTACAAGATTATCATGGGTCATTTGATATGGGCACACGTATCTCATCACTAACAGAAGCCAGCCTGGCAATGCCACAGCTCCCCTGCTGGAAACAGGACAGGCCAGAGCTAGCTAACATCCTTCCTCTTGGAATGTCCACCACCTTCCAAGGGGACTGGATAGAAAATCAGAAATAGGTTCAGGTTGATCCAGAGAGCTCTGCCATCCTTCTTTTGTCTTTGGCTGTCATTTAGCATGTAAATTATAGTAAAGACAGAGATTGTCTGGTGGTCACTCTAGCACTTTTTTTTGAGACATCTTGCTATGCAGTTCAGGTGGCCTTGAACTCACTTTGTGGTCCAGGCTAGCCTCAAACTCATGACGATGCTTCTGCTTCAGCCTCCCAAATGCTGGGATTATAGGAGTGTCACCATGCCCAGCCAAAATGACTTTGCCTTGTCTCTGGGTTTTATCCCAGCTCTGCTTTGGGAGTCTGTGTCAGAAAAAAGGTATTGAAAATTCCTAGAGGCAACACAGTGGAGAAAGGACACCTATGGAGTTCTGTTCTAGCTCAGGCTTAAGCCCAGGGCTGCATCTGGGATTCTGCAATGTGAAGTGTTCCTCTTAAATTGCTCTGAAAGTATCCCTAGTTCAGCTTTTTTAGTGTTCCTTAGTCTCCCAAAGCTGTTTCATGAAAGGAAGAACATTGGCCAATTCTAGCTGAGATCTAGGCAAAGCTAAAAAAAAAAAAAAAAGAATAGGACCTGCTTAGAGGCACAGACCTGTAATGCCAGCACTTGGAATGTTGAGGATCATGGCCAATCTGAGGCCACCCTGGGCAACATAGTGAGTAACAAGGCCAGTTTGACTCATAAACCAAAAAGTAGGAATATGGGCCGAATAGTTCATCACCTCACTTGGTTCTTCTCCGAATCATCTGCTATTTAGCTTAGCTAAGTTGTTTGCAAACATCTGGCATCCTCCCAAACTGGATCTGCAGAAACCCTGCTCATGGCTGAGCCCTCAGGGTGTCCAAGGTAAACTTTGCAGACTAACTGAGCAAGGTAGTGAGGAATCCTGCCTAGCAGAAATGCAATAGAAGCCTGATCATATCCACCCGGAGGCATTCCATCCTCCTTGTCTGTGCCAGGAGCCATCACCATTACTGGTCAACTACTGTTGGCTGGTCAGCAACCTCAAGCACAGATTGGGCAGGAGGTAACTGCTTTTCTGAGCCCTCACAGCCATGAAGTGATGTAAACAACAGTAATGAAAATTCCACTGGACTTCCAATCCCAGTAGTCAGCAGCCCCTAGGCCTTGTCTCTTCCTCTCGGCAACACAGTTGGTTTATCTTATTATACCTCTTTTTCATTGGTTCTTCCACCTCAAGACACCTAATCACTGTTAAATCCACCATGTGATTATGTTCTGATTGGCCAATCTGTTGCTGGGGAAAAGGCTAGCATGGGGATGCTGCTTTCCCAGATGTGGTATCCTTCTGGTCCCTGCATGCCCCTAGTTCTGTATTTTTTGACCCCTCCTACGCCCAGACAGTCCTCTGCATTCCGTGGCTTCATAGTAAACTACCCTGGAAACCCAGAGATTACATATTTAGTGTTTAGCCTGCTAAAGATGGATTTTGTACAGTCCGAGAAAGCAAAGCACAATTGAGGAAATCAACCTTTGCACAATAAGGAACACACACATCTCCACAAGACCGGGAGAGATCATAGGCTTTCTGACAATAAATCCATCTAAGAACCACTGATGTATTTAAGTATGGCTTAGAATAAAGTAAAAGCGTAAAATCAAAGGGCTTACTACGATAGTCCCAGACTGCTACTAGTCACCACTATACCTGAAATTCTACCAATAAGACTTACACTTTTGTAAATTTTCTTCTCTGGAAGCCTCCCCTTAAAATACAGAGCCCTGGAGGGAGACTATATTAAGTAACACACCCCAAAATCTATTCTAAAAGAAGCTGTATAGAAAGGTTTCTATTCTTAGCACTATGGATTAAACCCAGGGCCTCAGACATGCTAGGCAAGTGCTTCAACACTGAGGGACCTACCCAGTCCCCCTTTATTTTGAAACACGATCTCAAAGAAATTTCCTGGACTGGTCTCAAACTTGTGATCTTCTTGTGCTGGTCTCTGGAGTAGCTGGGATTACAAGTATGTGCCACTGTGTCCATTTTATGGAAAGGTTTATTTATAATCAAATGTTTAGAGATGCCAATATATTTTGTCATCCCGTGATAAGTAGACTAATGGTCCCCAAAGATTTTCATGTCCTCATACATGGAACCTGTGAAAATGTTACCTTACACAGCAAAAAGAGACCTGGAAGGCATGATTAAGGAAGAGGAGCTAGAGATGGAAAGATTATCCTGGATTATCTAGGTGGGTTTAATCTAATTATATGAGCCTTTAAAAGTGAAACAATTTTCTTGACTGGGATCAGACAGAAAAATGGGATACTGGAAGCTGGTGAGACAGACGCTATCTTCCTGGCTATGAAGATGCAGGAAGGAGACCATGAGCCAGCATCTCTAGAAACTGGAAGAAGAGAAACAAATTCTCTTTAGTTTAGAAACAATGTCTCTTTAGAAGACAGCCTTTGATCAACCCAGTGAGATTTGTGTCAAACTTCTGAGCTATCACACTATAATAAATTTATGTCATTTTAAACTACTAAGTTTATACACATTAAAGCAGCAACAGAAAGCTAATACACTCTCCTCCTTGAAGATTCCTTTGGCATATAAAAAGCTCTAAGTAACTATTCATCTGACTCACATTTCAGAATCAATTGAACACCACATTCCTATTTCCCTGTAACATCTATTGGTTATTTTATTTATGGTGTTCAGGATTGATCCCAGGACCTTGCCTGTGCTAGGCAAAAACTCTACCCCAGGGCGCTGGGGATTTAGCTCAGAGGCATAAGCACCTGTCTTGCAAGCAGGCAGTCCTGGGTTTGATCCCCGGTACCAATAAAAAACAAACAAAACAAAACAAAACAAAAAAAACTACCCCTGAGCTATATCCTTAGCCCCATGTGACATCTATTGGTATTACAAAATGCACTATGGAAAATACGGTACTATAGCATTAACTATTAGTAACATCGTAGTATAATTGAATTCCTATATGATAGTAACAGAATGGGACGCAGGACAGTTAAATTTTGATGGACCAACATGGAGGTTCAAAGAGATGAAGCCTGGGTGGGGAGACTCTTTGGACAGTGGTGGATATGTACCACAGATACACATCAGCTGCTGCACACCTGTCTTGTGCTCAATAGTTTGTAAGTCTTCTTGCCCTTCATATTCACCATCTTTTCTAAGGAAATTTCTCCAACTTCCTCCTTTTTCCCAGGACCCATGTTGGAAGGTCTTCTTTTATGCTTCTATGGCCCCCAGGTTTTATTTACCTCTGGGTGTGGCAACAATGTGCTGAAATGCCCTGTTTGTTTGTGTCTCCCACCAGCCTGAAGTTCTTAGAAGGCAAGAGCTTCGACTAGTTCACTGTTTATTCCTGTGTTTCACCCCACTTAGCACACTGAGGGTCTCAAACTGTGCCTTAGTCTCTTTCTCTTTCTACCCCAAAGGTGTATGAGTTCACTCCTGACTTGCCTCCTAACTGGTGGATGCTGCTGAACTGTGTAATAACACCTGGCCTCCAGGTTGGTTGTCCAATCATAGTCCAGCTTAACCAGAACTCATGTTCCAGGTAAGACCACAGAGCACCTGCTGCCTCCCTCAATTTGTCTCTCTTTTTCTGTTTTTTCCCCTTAGTGAAACAAGCAAGGATTTTAGGCTGATTGCATTACCACACTTTACAAGACATTTGACTAGGCCACAAAGATCAAAAAGATCAAATGATACACATCTAAGAGGATGGTCAAAGTTGAGAAGTTGTAGAATGAACAGCACCCTGAGAAACAAAATGTAGCTAAACCAGCACTGGTATAAGATAAAAAATAAATCTGCTGCTTTAAAAAATTAGGATGCAGTTTTTAAATTTTTCTTTCTTTTCTTTTCTTTTTTTTTTTTTTTTGCGGTACCAGGGATCAAACTTACAACCTCATGCTTGCCAGGCAGACGCTTATACCGCTGAGCTAAATTCCCAGTCCTTTTTTTTTTTTAATTTGAGGGTTGGCCAGGAAATAACTGGATCACAGTGGCCTAAGAATGAGCACCCATGGGCCTTTTTGTGGAAAGGAGGGAGTGACCACAGCCTGGCCAGCACGCCAGAACAGTAAGTTCTTACACTCAAAAAACCAAAGCAATTCCGGTGCTGAAAGTGTCACTTCCTTGGTTCTGAGACTCTTCCTTCAGCCGGGACGCAGAGAGCACAGGGGAACATCCTACTACTTAACACGTTGCACCTGGGTAGCCATTGACTCCCCACCCCCACTTCCCCACGAACTACTACTCCCGTTATGCCTTGCAACCAGGAGGCCTTAAACCCAGGATAAACCAGGTATCCCAGAATGCCTCGGGCGAGAGACGCACGTAGGGAGAGGGCGTGGCCACGTCGACCGCGCGGGACCGTTAAATTTGAAACTCGGCGGCTGGAAGTTGGCGCGTGAGACGGCCGGTTTGTGACAGAGTTGGTTTCGTGATCTTTTCCTGAAGCACCGCTTTCTCACTTCGGTGGCTTTGAGGCCAGGTTCTGGAGGGAAGCCGAGACGGTCGGCAGCCCTGAGGAAAAGGAATGCGGTATGGCGGAGGCGAAGAAAGAAGTCGGTCCTAGGTCGGTGAGGGAGAAAAGCCGCTAGGAGCGGGGTGTGCGAGGTCTCAGGAGCCTGGCAGGTGCCGAGGCTCTGCGCAGAGTCGTCGAGGGTAGGCCGAGCCTCTCTTATGCTGGAATCGCGGTCAGCAGAGACGAAGCCAGGCATGTGAAAATCCTGCGACCTGCTTCAAAGCAGAGGCGGCAAAAGCCCACGGGTAACAAAGAGTTTGCGGCCGCTCGTTAGCCGTTGAGCTTGGACATAGCTCTTATTTGGAAAAGGCTGCTATGGGGTTCTGGAAAAATTCAAATTGTTTTTAAAATAACTGCTTCTTAACCTGTGCTCAAATTATGTTACGTGGTACTTCCCTAATGTAAGATAAAAAGCCCTTCTCTGCACATTTGGTGCTTTTCCTTTAAAAAAAAATGACCGCCTAGTAAGCACTGGGTGCTACCAATAAAGGACACGAAAATCTCAGCTCTCTTGGAAAATAAGTATTGGTGTGAGATAAAGGTGAAGGAGACAGAATAAACATGGCAAAAATTAATGTACCGGTTTTACTAAAAGAATTTAAGGGAAGACAGGAAGTCTTGAGTGAGGGTCGGTGCAGTTTTAGATAGGTCTGAAGGGAGGCCTCACCGAGAACGTGTCAAGACTTACAGGGAGTTCAAGAGCTGGTCATGCATAAATCTGGGGGAAGTGCAAAGAACAGGAAGGAGGTGAGGAACCTGCCCCAGGCCTGTCCAAGACCTGTGTAGTGGAGCACAATAAACAGGAGAATAGAAGGACATTAATTTAAAAATAAATATGCAGGCATTGGAAGGACTTGGCTTTTACTCTAATTGAAAATTATTGCAAGATTTTGAAGAGCTAAATGGAGTCACTTTATCTGCTGTGTTATATAAAGACAAAAATGGATGAAACAGGGAGATCAGTTATGACTATTGAAATAATCCAAGCAAGAGAAAAGGGTGGTTTGAATGAGGCTGAAAAAAAATGTTGATTTCTGGCTATATTTTGAAGATAGAGCCAACAAGACTGACTAACTGATAGACTGACAGTTCATTAAAATTTGTGGTAAGATCTTTGGCCTGAGCCGTTGGAAGAATGGAATTGCTATTTATTTGAGATGAGTGAAAGCAGGAGGAGCAGGGAGCAGTCCCAGTTTAGTTTGGGACACTTACAAGTATTATTTAAAGAGCAAGAGAAGACACAGAAGCTGAGGCAAGAGGACTGCAAGTTTGCCAGCCTGGGCAACTTAGGGAGACTGCCTCAAAGCAAGAAAAAAAACTACAGATGCATTCAACATTTACTCAGTGTTTACTGGTGCAGTATCATGGAGTAGGCCATGGATATGGAAAGAAATGACATGGCCCTGACATTTACAGGGTTTCCACAATAGAGTCTAAAATACATAAGTGGTTATAACCCAAACTGTTAGTCACTTCATTACTTTCAGTTTGTTTGTTTGTATGTTTTTTTGGCAGGGTTTTGTGTAGCCCAGGCTTGAACACAATCCTGCCTCAGTCTGTAAAATGCTAGGGTTACAGACCTACACCAGCAGGGCCCTGCTAGTTACTTTCTTTCTTGAAGAGAGTTTTCACCTATCATCTAGATTAATGTCCCACTAATTTTCATTCTAATTTGAAAATTAGTGCCTTTTTTTTTTAACACCCAGCAATAACATTTTAGAAATAGGCTTTTGTCTGATCATTGCAGAGCTCTGAAGTGCAGAGTACATTCACCTAAATTGTGATTACCTCCAAAAACTTTTGGGGATTTCCCTAGTAGGGGCTTTGGAGAGCTAGTTTTGCATAGTTAACTATTTATCTGGACTCCCTGTATATACAAACTCCAGCTGTTTGTGTTGCCTTGTGCACACTAGGCAAATACCATATCACTGAACTATATTCTTTGCCCTATTTAATATTTTATTTTGAGATAAGGTCTTACTAAGTTGTCTGGGCCATGAACTTGCCATCCTCTTGCCCCAGTCTCCTAAGTGACTGAGGTTACAGCTGTGAGCCATCATACTCAGCCAAACCTCAGTTTGAAGTCATTATTTAAAACATAGGGTGTTAATCTGCCCAACATTTTGCTAATTTTAAATTAAACTAGATAAATATTCAATAGTAGGTGTGGAACTATCTAGTTTATCAATTTAGATACTTTTGTTTTTCTTCTTTTTTTTTCTTGCCTTAAATTTCATTTTTACAGTGTGACCACAAAACCCTTGCCAAATTCTGTCTTCCATTAGGTAACACCAAAACCATAAACTTGGAAACCAAGTGACAAGTATGTTGGTATGCATTTATTTTTGTTTCTTCACAGTGAAGCCATGACGGTGGAGGGAGATGAATGGGAGTTGAGTAAAGAAAATGTACAACCCTTGAGGCAGGGGCGGATCATGTCCACACTTCAAGGAGCTCTGGCACAACAGGAATCTGCCTGTAACAGTGCTCTTCAGCAGCAGAAACGGTATGTAGAATGGCTTGGGTTCAACCTGGCTTCGTTCATCTCCTGCTGTGGTAGTTAACATGGGTGCCAATCCATGTATAAAAGGCATTCTCCAAAATCCACAGTGTAAGAACCTGTCCCACTGCATCTTTTTCATTATAAGACAGCTAAAGAGCTCTTTAAGGGCTAGTAAGAACAAGGGCAATAGGATTTCATTTGATTGTAGAGCAGTTAAACTCTTTTATCAATAAAAATGGGATATATATAGGGTCAGTGATAAACATAGTAAAGTATCATGTGATAGTGTTTTCCAGAAGCGTTATGTCATTCTGGGCTCCTAAGCAGATTTAATTCTTTCATAGTAATCAGTTAGAGACTGTCTCCTTGAAGTTCTGACCATTGAGGGAGAGTGATTTTTTTTCTACTAATGGAGATTCAGCCTAGAGTCACATGCATGTTAGATGAGTATTCTGAGCTACACCCCAGCTTGAGCATGCTATTTTAATTATTATTATTATTATTTTTAAACAGGGTCTCACTATGTACCCCAGCTGGCCTTGACCTAGCTATGTGGTTCAAGCTAGCTTTGTAGACTTGAGTTTCTCCTGCCTCAGCCTTCTAAGTCTCAGGCATATACCACTATTTGACTGAAAATATGGCAAGAAAAAATAGTGATCTCAAGATCCTGTAAACCTTGGAGAAATTGGATTTATATTAGAAAGTTTCTGAAGAATGACTCCCAGGCTGGGAGTTAAAATGTAATGAGTATGTTTATTTGTGTTACTGAATCTTCAAAAGCATTGTGTTTCATGATTTTGTGTCAAAGATGGTGATGTTTTACTATTAAAACTCCTTCCTGAGGCCAGGGGTTTAGCTCAGAGGCGTAAGTGCCTGCTGGGCAAAGGTGAAGTTGTGAGTTCAATCCCCGGTACCAAACAAAAAAAGCCTGACTCCTTGCTGTTTTCTGTAACATCACACTAGTCTTTCTACTTCTCTCCTTTTTCTTGTGGGCTTCCTTGTCTAGTAACTTTTTACTATAGTTGCTGAGACAAAGTACCCAACACTCAACAAGAAAGAAAGAAAGGTTTAATTTCTTACAGTTCTTAGAGGTTTCAGTCCATACTCAGTTGTCTAAGCGGCAGGGTAGCATGGCAGGCCACCATTCATAGCTGGCTGCAAAAAGCAAGACACAAATTGGCAAGAGAGACACACCTTCTTCCCGCCATTACATCATATCCTGGCTCCACCCCTTAGGTAGGGGTAGCACTCATACCACCAATCCAAGCGCTAGATAGTGAACCAGTCAGGAATGCTAGATTCCGCTCAGCTCATACTGAGGCTTGGGGGCCACTGACATAAATCATGACTCTTAGTACTGTGTTTAACCTAAGTCTCTGTTGTTTTCCTTTTGTTCTTGTTCCATATTCAAAGTTTCCTTATTGTTCATTTAACATGGGTATCTCTTGATTTTTATTTTTTCTACCCATAACAGAAGATGGTCCCTGATTATGATGGGTGAATTTAAGACTTTTCAGGTCTATGGTGATGTGAAAGTGATACAAATTCAGTAGAAACTGCACCTTGAATTTTTGTCTTTTTCTCAGTCAAGGGAGAGACAGTAGGACTGTCTCGTGATGCTCAACAGCAGTAATGATCTGCAGCTTTGCTCATGAGGGTGAACACCCATACTTTAGGTGTGCTGCTAAACTGCTGTGGTGTGTGGTAGGGTATGTGTATTAAATGCACTTTTTTTTTTTTGGTCTTTTTCCTTTTTATCGGTACCGGGGATCGAACTCACGACTGCCTGCTTGCAAGGCAGGCGCTTATGCTGCTGAGCTAAATCCCCAGCCCCTAAATGCACTTTGAATATAGGATATTTTCAACTCATGACAGGTTTATCAGGTCATATCCTTATTGTAAGCCAAGGACCATCTGTAATTAGATGAATGTTTCACTTAATGTACAAAGTGTGTTAGAAACATAGTAAATGTTGAAATTTTTCAAAAATTTATTACACTGAAAGACACATTGCCAGTTCTGAAAGTCTTCTTTAGTTGCTGTGTTGTGGCTCCTTGATTTCCCTAATCTGTTCAAAACATTTACCTTTCATGGTCATTTCCACTTTGGGAAGAGCCAGAAGTTACCAGCTGCCAGATCCAACATACAGGGTGGAAGGATAAGGACACATCACAATTTTTTTTTTTTTTTTTTTTTGGTTACCGGGGATCAAACTCAAGACCGTAGGCACTTAGGCCGCTGAGCTAAATCCCTGGCCCCCATCATATTTTTATGAGCCTTCCTTTCTTTTGGATGTCACTTCACAGAAGCATTCACTGTAGTTTTGATCACATCTTATAAAGACAACCCTGAAAAAGCATTTCCAGAACTGCTTTGAAAAATGGCAAGAATTGAATAACTTTGTTCAAAGTTGAGCTGGGAAGATTATATAACTACTGAACTCTTCTCAAACATAGCCTCCTTTTTCTGACTCCGTTTTGGTTAATGGTACTTAATCCTACTCACTGTTCTCTTATCCTAATTTTATTTAGTCTGTTGATAAGGACTGGTAGTTTTTTTATTTTTTGAGTGCTGGAGATTGAACCTAGGGCATTATAAATGCTAACTAAACATGTGTTCAACTACTATCACATCCCCAATTGTGGAATTATTTGATTCCCCTCCCTTCCCCTCCTTCCCTCCCCCTTTCTCCCTCCCTCCCCCTTTCTCTCTCTCTCCCTCCCCCTTTCTCTCTCTCTCTCTCTCTCTCTCTCTCTCTCTCTCTTTCTCTCTCGCTCTCTCTATCTCTCTCTTTCTTGGGATTGAACACAGGACCTTCTCACTGAACTGCATCCAAGCCCCATTTTAAATTTTTTATTTTGGGGGCTGGGGATATAGCTCAGCGGCATAAGCGCCTGCCTTGCAAGCAGGTAGTCGTAAGTTCAATCCCTGGTACCGATAAAAATGAAAAAGACCAAAAAAATTTTTTTTATTTTGAGTTAGGGTCTTGCAAAGTTGCCCTGGTAGAATTTAAACTTCAGATCCTTTTGCCTGAGCCTCCCAGAGTGCTGGAATTACAGGTATGTGCTAACATGTAGTCTTGAGGTTTCTTTTTTTTTTTAACTATAAGTTACATGCAAGGAAATGCTTAGATTTTTAAGTGTACAATTTAATAATCAATTTTGTATGTATTTTGAGACATAAAACATTTCTTCAGAAAGTTGTCATGTTCTTTCCCATTAAACGCCCTCCTTCATGAAGCATCTGCTGATCAGATTTCTATCATTGTAGGTTACTTTTGTTTACCCTAGAATTTTATATAAATAGAATCATAGTTCTTTTAAATTCAGTATATTTTTGAGACTTTTTCATGTTACATGCATCACTAGATTTTCCTTTTTATTATTCAGTAGTATTCTTTTGTTTATCCATTCACTAATTGACGGGCACTCAAGTTTTTCAGTTTGTATCTTATGAATAAAGATTTTCTTTTCCCTTGGAATAGGATTTCTGGAACATAGGATAGATGTATATTTAAATTCGAAGCAACTGCTAGTTTGCAGAGTGATTATCACATTTAACACTCCTGCCTGTAATGTATTACACTGTGTTTTAACTCTAAATCCGCTCCAGTATTTAGCATTCTCTTTTTAGCCATCATAGTACCGTGAAGTTGTGTCTCACTGTGGTCTTGCTTTGCATTTCCCTAATGATTCATCCCTAATGATTCAGAGCACTTTTCCACATGCTTATCAATCTTCTGTATATCTTTCCTGGTATATTTGTTCAGACATTTTGTCCAATTTTTAAGTTAGTTTGCAGGAATTCTTTATATACTCTGTACACAAGTCCTTTATCAAACATACATGTTATAAATACTTTTTCCCATTTGTTGGTTGTCTGCCTTGGTGATTTTATTGTCTTTTTTTCTTTTGGTGGTCCTAGGGACTGAATCCAGGCTTCACATGTGCTGTGTGCTTTACCAATGAATGACACCTCCAGCCCCCTTTGTGGTGTTTTTCCTTAATCACCAATGTTTTAATCTCAATGACAATTAGTGTTTTTCTTTTATGGTTAAAGAGATCTTAAAGAGATCTTTGCATTCTCCAAAATTACCAATACTAGCTTCCTTTGTCTTAGCTTTTGTGTTTAGTTGTTTAGTGTATAATTCACTTTAAATTTATCTTTGTAGGGGCTGGGGATTTAGCTCAGCGGCATAAGCGCCTGCCTTGCAAGCAGGCAATTGTGAGTTGGATCCCTGGTACCGATAAAGACGAAAAAGACAAAAATAAATAAATAAATAAATTTATCTTTGTATATACTGTGACATTAGAATAAAAGTTCTTTCAATTTGGGTATCAAGTTGCTCTGCCTCCACTTATTGAAGAGAGGGCTCCCCTACTCCACCCACTGAATTGCTTTGAGGTCTTGTCTGAAATCATTTGAAGTTAGATGTAGGGACATATGCTATCATCCTAGTACTCTGGGAGGCTAAGGCAAGAAGATCACAAGTTCAAGCCCAACCTGAGCAACTTAACAAATCCCTGTGTCAAAACAAAAATTGGTCTGGGGATGTAATTCAAGGGCCTAGGTTTAATTCTTAGTACCCCCCAAAAAAATCATTTGTTAGAGGACTGAGATGGTAGCCCACTAGTAGTGCTTACATAACATGTATAAGGCCCTGGGTTCAATCCTTAATGCTGCAAAAAACAAAAAATTTTGTATGCATATGTGTGGATTATTCCTGGAGTGTCTTATGTTTCATTGATGAAATTGTCTGTTTCACCAGTAATACATTGGTTTTCTAATTTAGCTTCACAAAATAAGTTAGATAGGGGTATAGGGTGAATTCTTTTTCAGAATTGCTTTAATTATTCTTGGTCTTTTGCTTTTCCAAATAAATTTGTTTCTTTAGATTTTGGTCAGATTGCATTGAATCTGCAGGTCAATTTGGAGATTACTGATTTTTGTCAGTAATGTTTTAGATTTTATCATTATTTCTGTAGATAATCTCATTATTTCATACTTAAATTGCCATACTAGCTTTGCTTCCCATTCTTAGAGTGTTGCTTTGTAAATCTTTTTTGAAATCTTTATTCTGCATATTTAAGGTACTTTCCAATTAAAACTAATTGTGGCTTGAGCAAATGAAGTCAGTATTAGCTCTTCTTCCCTGGGACAAAACACCTGACATACACAACTCAAAGGAAGAAAGATTTATTTTGGTTCACAGTTTCAGAGTTTCAGTCCATGATCCACTGACTCCAAGGCAAGAGCATTATAGCAGTTGGCCCTGAATCAAGACCAGCAGATTGCTATAGCTGCTGGTTTCAAACAGGAGCCTAAAGAGAATTCTTTCTGTGGTCTGTTGGCTATTTCAGAACTTTGGAAATGTAATGGTCAATTCATCAGAAAGAAACAGCTAAATTTTATAGTTAAAATTTATTTAAAAAGAAAGAAATGTGGCAGAAGGGCATGGTGGAGGAAAGTTGATAGAGAAGTAGAAAAAAAGGGGTCAGGAGCAACGTGTATCCTTCAAAGGCATTATCCAGCAACTACTTCTTGCAGTTGGGTTCTATCCACAAAAGCCCATTCAGCTGTGAACTCATCAGTGAGGTAATTCACTGATGAGGTTAGGCTCATGATCCAGTTGCATCTCATACATCTGCATAGTGCTGTATTGGGGATTAAGCCTCTGTATGTCTTTTGGGGGATACTTTATATTTAAACCATATTTTATGGGGTACTTCATATTTAATCCATATTGGATTTTGTTTGTTTGTTTTTGTTTTTATTTGTTTTCGTATGTGGTATTGAGGTTTGAATCCAGGTCCTTTGCACTAAGCTACAGCAACAGTACCTTTTTCTTCTTTTGAGACAGCATCTTGGTAAGTTGCTGAGTTGCCCGGAATGAGCTCCAACTTGAGATCCTGCTACCTCTGCCTCCCAGAGTGCTAGAATTACAGGTGTATACCAAATATACCCAGCTCAAAGTTTTAAAATTTAAAACATGTCTTTCTTACCTCTCTAGATGGCTCCATGCCTAAGTTCCTTTGGTTAAGCTCTGCCACTTTTTTCAGTATTGGTTTGCCTCCCTCTTGAGAAATCAAAACACTCCCATCTTTTTATTCATGCTAGAGATTAAATTTGGCCTATGTGCGTGATAGGATGCTAGGAAAACACAGTTCTAGAAAACTTTCAGATCTTTTGGTTGCTTCCAAATTCTGCCTTCAGAAGCTACACTTGTGATGCCTCCTTTTGAATTTGTGTGTGTGGGTTTGTTTGATTTATTTATTTATTTATTGGTGCTGGGAATCGAACTCATGACCTGGCACTTACCAGGCAGGCGCTTATGCTGCAGAGCTAAATCCCTGGCCCTTATTTATTTATTTTTGAGGCAAAGCCTCAGCCTTGAAATCAGAAACTTATTTCTTACATCCTAACTAACATTACCCATGGAACTTTTTTATTTTTGTGTTTGTTTGATGCTGGGGATCAAACTTAGGTCTCTGTGCAAGTATCTGCCACTGAGCTACATCCTAGCCTGCACTTCTTTCTAACTTTATGTTGTTGTTTTTTTTTTTTTTGATACTAGGGATTGAACTCACGACCTCGAGTTTGCCAAGCAGGCACTTATGCGGCTGAGCTAAACCCCTAGCCCTTCTTTTTTCTAACTTTAAGATTATTATTTCTGTGCATGTGTGTGGTGTGTTCAACACTATGCTACATTAAAAATAAAAGCTATTGTTAATGGAGCATTTAGTATGTCTAAATATATTTTACAGATGAAACTAAAGAGTGAGAGTAGTTGTCTAGTGTCCCTCAGCTAGTAATTGATGGAGCTGGATTTGAATCTGGAGTCACATTCCAGAGCTTTTAATTACTGTGTAATACTGCTTTTCCATGCATTGTCTTAAAATTTCTCATTTCTCTATATTTTGTTCCATCTGTTATCAGACAGAATCTTTTTTTTTTTTTTAATCAGACAGAATCTTAATGGTCTGGTTTTTTTTTGTTTGTTTGTTTGTTTAACAAATCCTGAAACTCTAGTAGTTATTTAGATCAATATTCTTACTAAATGGATAAAAAGGAAAGTGATACTTGATATTATATATGCTTACATTTTCCATTTAAATTTCAGGTCATTTGAATCTGAAATTCGATTTTATGCTGGAAATGATCCTCTGGATGTTTGGGATAGGTGGGTATTTTTATTTGACACGGTCAGCAGAAACCTTAACAGATAAGTCCTTATGTCTGTGTTTCTCAAACTGGGTTTGTGGAGTTATTGGTATGTCATAGTAGAAAGTGATATCTTGGGACACAGAGATCCAGAATAGCCTTGTTGATGTTTTGTATTTGTTTTGCAGTACTGGGGAAGAAACCAGGACCTCAGATTCTCACATTTGCTAAACATTTCTACTACTCTACCCTTGAGATATTTAAGATCAAAATTTAGTTTGTAGCATACAACTTTGAGCTATACCTTTTTGTCCCTCTCCTCAGTATTCCCCAGAAACATATATTAGAGCTACTTTGGAAATGTTTGAAAGGTTAGGATATGTCATTGAGATCGCCATAGAAATAGAGATATTAAACAGTTAAGTATTTCAGCTTAAAGAAATCCAGAATTGGTCATGGAGCCAGGACAAAATTACACTTACAACTCAGAATATGTTCTTTTTCTTTTCTTCTCATTCAGGTATATAAACTGGACAGAGCAGAGCTATCCTCAAGGTGGGAAGGAGAGTAACATGTCAACATTATTAGAAAGAGCTATAGAAGCACTACAAGGAGAAAACCGTTATTACAGTGATCCTCGATTTCTCAACCTCTGGCTTAAATTGGTAAGCCTTTCTTAAATGCCCTCTGAGTTTATAAACTCAGAGATTTTTCTCTAGAGATGTCTAATATACAAAAAAAAAAAGGTAAAAGAAATTTTTCTCTAGAAGTGTCTAGAATACAAAAAAAGAAAAGATAAAAGCAGACCCATGTAGTAGATGGTAAACATTTAATACATAGTTGGACTTTACTTAAAGTTAGATTTAAATATAACGTACTGAGGTTTTATACTCCTTTAAGACTGATCATTAAGTTTGTTCATTCATTTATTCTGAGGTCTTTTTTTTTTTTTAATCGGCACCGGGGATCAAACTCACGACCATGTGCTTGCAAGGCAGGTGCTTATGCCGCTGAGCTAAATCCCCAGCCCCTGTTCATTTATTCTGAATGTAACTGGGTCTTGTACAGAAGGAAGACATGTAGGAGCCAGCCTTATCAGTATAATTGTTTGTGTAAGAATGATTCCTTAGTGATTTTGGTATCTCTTTCTCTCCTTTATAAGAATCATCATCATAAAATAGTAATGTGTTAGTTTTTTATTGGCCTTTGACAACTTTCACCTAGAATATTGTCACAGGAAATATGTCTGCCTGACCACTTTGTGCTTTCACTGGACATGTAGTTCTTTCATTCTACGTATTCTTACGATTTTTTTCTTAAGAATTATTTTTTATAAAGCTGGGCATGGTGCTGCACACCTGTAATCCCAGCATTCGGGAGGCTGAGGCAGGAGGATCACTGCAAGTTCAAGATCAACCTGGGCTATATAGTGAGACTTTGTCTCTGAAAACAAAACAAACAAAAAAAAAAGATTTTTATTCACTGCTTTTGTCCTAAAGAAATAATTTAAAAAGCAATCAATACTTGCAATTGTCTATAAATATTGTATTATAATAAAATATTTGAAGTCAACTAAAAGTGGCTAAAATAATATATTTCTTAAACAGGATTTATTTAAATCTCAAATAATTACAAGAGCTGGGTGTGGTGGTGCACACCTGTAATCCCAACACCATGGAGGCTGAGGCAGGAGGATTGCAGCAAGTTTGAGGCTAGCCTAGACTATATATTGAGTTGAAGGCCAGCCTGAACTATATCATGTGACCCTGTGTCTCCCAAAAAATAAATAAATAAAATTTATAAGTATAACAAATTATGCGAATCCTACAGGTGTAATGTATCTTGATTTCAGCAGGATATTGACAAATATTGTGACATCTTAGTAACAGGTTAGAAAAATTGCCTTAGGAATATTTAATTGCAGAAATTTGTAATGAAGAATGGGGCCCAAAGAATGTGAAATAGATTTTTAGCTGAGAAATTACAGTTTCACATTGCATAACAATGAATTTTTTTCCTTCCTTCTATCCAATATATTCTTACATGAAATTCAGTAGAAAAGGTTACACTAGAATCTCTATAAAATGGTTTTTAATCTTGAGATTTTGTGAGTAAATTTAACTGGAGCTATTAAAAGTAACAAATAGGATAATTTCAGTTATTATTTTTATTTATTTATTTATTTATTTTTGTCTTTTTCCTTTTTATCAGTACCGAGGATCGAACTCATGACTGCCTGCTTACAAGACAGGCGCTTGTGCCGCTGAGCTAAACCTCTAGCCCCAGTTATTATTAACCTAGTGCTCATAATGAAGAGGAATGATGTAAATGAAAGCATAGTCTAGGCTGCAGGTATAGTTCAGGTATAGAGTGCTTGCCTAGCACGTATGTGGTGGCGAGTTCTCTAAAATGCCACTACATACGAGAAAAATCACAAATTTGGGTAACAAAATCCCACTTACTGAATTACTCCAAAATTAAGTATAAAACACTAATCGTTTTTGTCAAAGGTGTAAGTGAAAGTTTTTTGTTATTCAGTATTTATTGTGCTAGACACTGGATAGAGACTGGGACAATAAATAGCAAGGTTTTCTTCTTTGTGGAACTTAAGTTTATTAGAGAAGGTGAATTTGCTTATTATCTTTTTTGTGTGTATGTGGTGGTACTGGGCCTTGTGCATGCTAGTCATGCACTACCACTGAGCTAAATCCCTAGCCAAACTTAAGTTGGACAATTTTTTTTTGTTGTTGTGTTGGTTTGTTTTGAGGTTTTTTTGGTACCAGGAATTGAACTCAAGACCTCATGCTTGCCTGGCAGGCACTGTGCCACTGAGCTATATCCCTGGCAAGAAGGTAAATTTGAAGCCATTAATTCTTTTTTTGAATGGGTCTTTTTTGTTTTGTTTAATTTTTTTATTTTAAAGTTAGTAAAATCCAACAAAATAAAACAAAGCCAATCAAAAAATGCAGCAAAATTGATACAGGACTTCAAAGCAGGATACTAGGAAAATAACAATAACTATCATAGTGTATCTTGTTATCTTCACAATATTTGTCTGTTCCATCATGTATAGCAAAAACCAAAAGCAAAACAGAATAAAACCAATCAAACCAGAATATTGAATAAAGCAAAATAATCAAAACAAAGCAAAACAGTGAGAACAGTATTGGACTTCAAAGACAAGACAGAAGGAAATCCCCTATATTTGCTATATTGCATACTGTCATCCTCCCAGTAGATGCTCAGAGCACTGACCCCAGGCCTGAAAAATCAACCAAACAATACAAGCATTAGGTTGCTTAGGTACGCTAGTTGCTATCATCTTTCCAACCAACTGGTTGCTTGGGTGGAGGGACAGGACAGGGTATTTGATTCTCATCCCATGCACCGCCTGGTAGGCTCACGCGAGGCGCTTAGACTTTTCTCTCCCTGGAATCCACACGGCTTACCAGAAAGGCTGACATCATTAATTCTAAGTGTAACAAAAGAGAAAGTAACTTGAGTTCTGTGGTCCCATGATGCAACGAGGAGAATTGCCTTGGCTTGGCAAATCGGGGACAGATGGACATGGGGGCAAAAACTTCTTTATTTAGTAAAGAGCAACAGAATGATAGCGTCTGTAGTAGTAAAAGAATGCTGAGGCACCATTTTTTTCTATGAAACTAGAATTATCTTTAATAGTTTCTGCTGCTGATAAGGATGTGGTGAAACTAAATTGTTGTCAGGCAGCTCCTTCTAGAAATAACTTGCCAAATAGTTACCAGGTTTTTGGGGTGCCTCTTGGCTTTCAGGTTCTTCTCTGTCCCGAAAAAGAATGGAACAAAACAAGTCAAAAATGGTGACAAAATTTTCATTTGAAAAGTGAAGCAGTAAGGGAGAAACTAGCTCTAGAGGACAAACCTGGGAGCAAAAGAGAAGAAAAGTAAAAGTGCTCCCCGGAGGACACAAGGCTGGCTACTGTGAGGAAAAGCCACAGTAGTGAACTCTTCATGGCATCTGTGGCCTTTTATGTCATCCATGCCTCCCAGGAAACCACCAAACTTTTACACTTGAGTCATGAGAAGCAGTAGGATCCTGCCATATGTCTCTTTCCAGCCAGTCTACCTCCTGTCTCCGTACCAGATTCAATCCAGGGCGTCATACATGGTAGCCAAGCATTCCACCACTGAACTATATCTCCAGCTCCGCTCCCCTTTTTTGTTTTGTTGGGTTGATTTTTTGTTTCCAGACAGGATCTTACTAAATGGCCCAATCTGGCCTCAAATTTGTGATCCTCCTATCTCAGTTTTGCAATGAGCTTGGATTACAGATATGTACTGCCATGCCCAACACAGCTAATATTTTACTATACTTTAGGGTTTTATTTATTTAATTTATTTATTTACTTTTGTGTGTGTGGTGCTGGGGATCAAACCCAGATCCTTATACATGCAAAGTAAGAGCTTTACCACTGAGCCATGTCCTCTGCCTCCACGTTATTTTATTTATTTTTGTCTTTTTGAGATAGAATCTCACTCTGCAGTTTAGGCTGACCTTAAACTCACTTTGTAGCCCAGGCTGGCCTCAAACTTGCAATGGTTCTCCTGCCTCAGCCTCCTGAGTGCTGGGATTTGCAGGTATGCACCACCACACCTGGTAGCATTTTAAATTTGTACTACTCTCTTAGAATTTACTATTTGTTAGTAACCTATTTTAACATCTGCTTTTAGGAATTTATCTTAAGAAAGTAATGCAAACTGTGAAAGATTATATGCCTGTAGAATTACTTACAACTGGGCAAAGTTAGAAATTGTTTAAACATCCTGAAATAGGGTTAAATTATGGAGAGTCTACTGGGTGGAACACTGTGGGTCCATTTAAAGATCATGGAAGGGGAGCTGGGGATTTAGCTCAGCGGCATAAGTGCCTGCCTTGCAAGCAGGCAGTCATGAGTTCGATCCCCGGTACCGATAAAAAGGAAAAAGACAAAAAAAAAAAAAAATCATGGAAGAACAAAGTAGTAAAAATAATAGAAGAGCACAGAAGATGAAAGATGGTGCATCCAGATTGCTGTGTGTACTTAAGCTTCAGGCTTGATACTAGATGCATACACCTTCTCTTGCATTCATTATAATTGTGCTAGTATCTAGTGCTGGGACCAACTTCCCAGATAACCCTTTAGTACCATGGGATTTACTCCTCCTCCTGTGGCGAGTGCTGCTGGCTGACTTTGGCAGCTGTGAGCCCTCTGGGAAGTTTGCTTTGCTAAAGGGCTCTGCCCCATCTTAGGCCCTGTCCTCTTCCTGGGCCCTGTTACCCTTGATGCTCCTGTGGAGATACAAAAGTCTGGCCTCCCCTCGCACCCCAACTCCAGAAACCCAGCAGAGCCCCCCTAGCTCCAGAGCTGCTTCCCATTGTGTCTGTGTGAAGCCCACACACCCAGCACCTCCTCTGTCCTTTCAGGGATCCTGATATGCAACAGTGCTTCTGTCTGTACTTTTCTGCTAGTGTACCGATTTAGTTGAATGACAAATTGAATTTATATAAGCACAATAAATGCAAATTCTGTAGACTTTATTTTGAATGCACGTTTGCTGTTTATTCTAAATACTGATTTTATATGTTAAGTGATGTTGAACTTACTATCAAAATTTTGAACTGTGAGAAAGATGAATGATGCAGTGTTAAACAGAATAAAACCAAATTTTATTAGGATCGAAACTATTATGGTATATGACAAAACGTATAATACCAGAATGTTTATAGTCTAGTTTTTAGTGATTTTTGTCTTTTGCTACTAGAATTATCTGCATTGTATCTGATTTTACAAAATCCCTTCTTAAGTGCCGATTTAACCAAATCATTCCTTTGTTTATAATAGCTTCCCATCCTAACACACATTTACTGCCAGGTAAATTCATAATTGATTAGCTTAACATTCAAGACCTATCACCTTTCTGTCCAAACTCCATTTATTTATTTGGTGCCGGGGATTGAACTCATAACCTTGTGCTTGCCAGCCAGGTGCTTGTGCCACTGACCTAAATCCCCTCCAAACTCCTATTTTGCTTGGACCCCTACATATTTCAATCTTGTGTCTTGTCTATCTGTCATCCCCAATCCCTTCATCTCCATGCTAGTATTTTCTCTAGAATGCCCTTCCCTTCCCATTGTACTCCCAATGAGTCCGTTTTCCCTTGAAGGTCAAGCCGAAATATTACCCCCTGTAGCCTTTCCTCCCATCTCTTTTTCTTGCAAATTAATCTCACACATATATTTTCCACATAGGGTCCTTATCATTTATATTGTAATAGATATATTTTCTTCAAAGCAGCAATAGCATATAAAATCTCTAGGTAATATTGTTTGGCAAATTAACAAGTATTCAATAAATGGAAACAAACTGATAACTGTTAACACTTTGAATTTGTTACAGGGGCATTTATGCAATGAGCCTTTGGATATGTATAGTTATTTACACAACCAAGGGATTGGCATTTCACTTGCTCAGTTCTATATCTCATGGGCTGAAGAATATGAAGCAAGAGAAAACTTCAAAAAAGCAGATATGATATTTCAGGAAGGGATTCAACGGAAGGCTGAGCCACTAGAAAAACTGCAGTCCCAACACAGGTAAATTGCTCCTCTGGAGTTTGTCTTTACTCTGGCCATTTTTATAGAATAAAATGCTCCCTGATGTATTGTAAGTCAAATTTACTTAGTTACTATTCATTTTTATTTTTATTGTTTTTTTTATTATTCATTTTTTTAAACATGCAGGTTCACCTTATTTTCAGTCTTTGGTGTATGAGGGTTTTTTTTGTTTTGTTTTGTTTTTGTGCTGGGGATCGAACTCATGACCTGGTGTTTGCCAAGCAGGCACTTATGCTGCTGAGCTAAACCCCTGGCGGTATATGAGTTTTACATGATCAAGATACATAATAATTCTACAGCCATTGAAGAATTCTCCCTGTTGTTCCTTTATAATTAATACGTATATATTTATCCTGGCAAATGCTAGTCCACTGTCCAATTCTGTAGTTTTGCTTTTTCCAGGCTATCATATAAGGAAGTCATAATAGAATTTTGAGTCTGGCTTTCCTGATTTATCACACTACTTTCACATTGTATGAGTTCTTTATGTGTTCTAAATAAAAGCCTTTTGTCAGTTACATGATTTGTAAATATTTTCTCCAGCTTAAGTCTGGTTTGTCATTCTTTTAATAACTATCTTTCATAGAATAAAAAGTTTTAACTTTGAAGAGGTTGAATTTATCACTTTTCTAGTATGGATTTTGCTTTTGGTGTGTTATATCTAAGAGCTGTCTAGCTGAAGTACAGTAAGATTTTTTTGTTTCGTTGTTATTGTTGTCTGGGGTACTAGGGACTGAACCCATGACATGGCAAGTTAGGCAGGTGCTCTATCACTGAGCTATAATATGCAACCCTCTCTAGAGTTTTTATAATCACGTTTTATGATTGTACTCTTTTTACGTTTAGATCTGTGATTCAGCTGAGTGCCATGAGGTATACCTGTAGTCCCAGCACTTGAAGGCTGAGGTGCAAGGATCAGTTGAACCCAGGAGTTCAAGACTTGCCTGGACAGCATAGTGAGATCACATTTCAGAAAAGAAAAAGAATTTTAAAAATAAGATCAGTGACCCATTTTGAGTTAATTTTTGAATAGGGTATGAGTCAAGTTTCTTTTATTTCTTTCCCTTTTTTTTCCACATATGAATGTCTATTTTTTTTTTCCCGTGCCTGCTCTTGGAAAGACTATAACCTTTGTGCTTTTATCAAAAACAGTTTGTATCTTATTTGTCTAGATTTATTTCTTTTACTCTCTTTGTTCCCTGGATCTGTGTGTCTGTCTATCAGTGTATACTACAGTGCACAAGGACAGCCTGAACTGCATAACAAGACCTTGTATAAAAAAAAACAAAAAAAACCCCACACTTTTATTTGTAGTTCTTCTAGTGCCATTGACTTTAAATGGGTTTTTTGATTTTTTTTTTTTTTTTTTTTTTTTTATCAGTACCAAGGATCGAACTTACGACCATGTACTTGGAAAGCAGGTGCTTATGCTGCTGAACTAAATCCCCAGCCCCTAAATGGGTTTTTGGTTTTGGTTTTGGTTTTTTATGGTGCAAAGGATTAAACCCTGGGCCTCTCATATGTCTAAGCATACACCCAACCACTGAGCTGAAAGCCCCAGCTCTATCTGTAAGGTTTAGAATCATCTTTTTGGGATTTTTATTAGGATTATACACAAACACACCATTTATATAATTTGACCCATACCTTTTTATGTTTTTGTTTTATTAGCACTGGGGATTGAACATAGGATCTTGTGCTTGCCAGGCAGGCACTTAAGCCACTGAGCTAAATCCCCAAGCCCTCCTTTTTATGTTTTTGTTAACTTGACACCTGCCTATACATTGTATTTCTCAATTTATTTAGGTCTGATTTCTTTTAGCAGCTATAGTAGATTTTACATTGCAAGGAATTAGCTTCTTTCATTAAGTTTGTAGATATAGATCTTCTGATTTTTCCCTATTCTTTAAAGGTCTGTAGATTATATTGGTTGTTCCTTTTTTTACTGTCTAACTAGAAGTTTTATCAGTCATGTCAGAAAACTTGGTTTTGAATTCACTGATTTTTCTCTTACTGTTTTGATGTTCTTAATTTTACTTCTGCTCTTTATTTCTTTTTGCTTGCTTGGTTATAGCTTTACTTTTTCTAATTTAAGATAAAAAGATCAGGGGTTGGGGATTTAGCTCAGCGGCATAAGTACCTGCCTTGCAAGCAGGCAGTCGTGAGTTCGATCCCTGGTACTGATAAAAAGGAAAAAAGATAAAAAGATCACCGATTCTAGTCCTTTCTGCTTTTCTTTTAGTGGGTGCTTAGCTTGGAACCAGGGCTCATGAGTGAGCAAGGACTCTCCCAACCAGCTATATCCCCAGCCTTCTTTTTTTCTTCTTTTCTTTCTTTGCAATGCTGAAGACCAAATCCAGGACCTTACATGGTAGGGAAGCATTCTACCATTAAACTACATTCTCAGACTTCTTTTTTTTTTCCTGGCAGTGCTGAAGATTAATCCTGGAGCTACATCCTCAGTCCTATTTTTAATTGTTTTTTTTATTTTTAAATTTTGAATCAAGGTCTCACTAAAGTTGCCTAGGCTGGACTGCATTTTGCAGTCCTATCTCAACCTTCCAGAGTGAAGGAATCACAGATGTGTGCCATCACATCTGGCTCCCAGCCCTTGTTTTTTAATATAAGCACTTAATACTCTAACTTCCCCTTCAGAGCGCTGCATAATAATGCTGTACTTTGATTTTCATTCAGTTTAAAATATTTTCTAATTCATGTTGTGTCTTCCTTTTGACACATAGGTTGTTTGTATTTATTTAGAAATATAGTACTTAATTAGAAAGTGCTTTTATATTTATTTAACTCGTCTTTTACTTGGTGGAACTCAGGGTCTTCACATTGAGCTACATTTTCAGCCTTTTTAAATTTTAAGACCAGGTCTCCCTAACTCATTGAGTTGCCTGTGCTGGGCTCCAATTTATGATCCTGCTGCCTCAGCCTACCAGTGTGCCAGAATTACAGGCAAGCAACATCACATTTAGCTTGGTAATGTTTTTGGTTTTTCAGATATCTCCTTTTAAATTGATTTTTGGTTTAATTCTATGTGGTCAGAGAGCATAGTTATTATTTCAATTATTTTACCTGCATTATCAGGTTTCTTTGTCATCTAGAATATGATTTTTTTTTTTTTTTTTTTGGAGATAGGGTTTCACTAGGCAGTGCAAGCTGGCCTTGAACTCACTATTCCAAGGCTGGTCTCAAACTCAGCATCCACCTGTCTCAACCTCCCAAGTGCTGGGATTTCAGGTGTGTACCACCATACCCATCGCAGAATATGATCTTATAAATGTTCCTGGTACACTTGGAAAAGATATGTGTATTATTTTATTATGTGTTTATATAGCCAGGGCCTTTGCACTGAGTTGTATCTTCAGTCTTTTAATTTTGAGATAGGCCTTATGACCTCATTAAGGCCTCCCCAGAGTGCTAGAATTATAGGTACACTACCATTCCCAGCTGGCAATCTGTTCTGATTCATATATTTGCCCATTTTCTCTACTTTTCTAACAATTACTGAGAGGAGTTCTATAGTCTCTTTAATTGTGATGTTTATTTCTTCTCTTTCTTCTTTGTCTTGGGGATTGAAATCCAGTACCTGTTGCATGGCAGATAGACACTCTACTACTGAACCTACAGCATATGTAACACATTCTAAGTCTTTTTACTTTCCTTCCCTTCCCTCTCCCATCTCTCCATCCCTAGAACATTTTTACATCCCCAAATCAACCCTACTTATTAGTAGTCACTAATCATCCATACTCTTCCCCAGTTTCTGTTTTCTGTCAATAAATTTACCTATTCTAGACATTTCATATAAATTGGAATCCTACAATACGTGGACTTTTGTGACTGACTTTTTTCACTTAGTATACTATTTTCAGGGCTCATAGATGAGCATAGTTGTGGCATGTGTACATACTCCTTTCATTCCTTTTGATTGTCGAGTGAAACTCCTTGTGTAGGTATGGCAGAGTTAGAATACCCATTTATTAGTTAATAGGCATTTAGATTGTTTTCACAATTTTTAGGTAGTTTTACTTTTAACTTGTCCTAATCTTTGTATTTTAAGTAGGTTTCTTATTTATGATCTCATTCATATCTTCTTTGATGTTTCTACACCTTTTAGTAAAATAATTAAATTATTGGATTTAGCCTATTTTATTATTTATTCTTCTTTTCCTCTGTGATTCATTTCCTACCTTCTTTTAGATCATTTGAATATTTTAGTATCAGTTTTTTTGTTTACTTTATTGGATTTTTTTTTTTTTTCTTTTTTCTTGTTTTGGTATCATACTAGGGATTGAAGCCAGGCCTATACTGAGCTATATCTCCAATCCTTTTTAAAAATTTTATTTATATTGAGATAGGGTCTCATATGTTGTCCCTAAATTGCTCAGGCTGGGCACAAACTCTTAGTCCTCTGCCTCAGGCTCTCAGAGTGCTGGGATTGCAGATGTGCACCATTATGCCAAGCTTGTTATTACTTTTTAAGTGGCTTATGTAGGGTATATAATCACATCTTACACATTAATGATCTATTTAGAGTTAATATTTTACCACTTCAAGTAAAATTTAGGAGCTTTATAGCCAAATAAGTCTCTTTATCTATGTATGTTGAAAATTCTACACCATTCTATAACTTTTGCTTTCAATAGCTATGCTATGATTGAAATATAATGTATATGATGACTGTTTAAATTTAGAAAATATGTGGGGCTGGGGATTTAGCTCAGCCGCATAAGCACCTGCCTTGCAGTCGTGAGTTCGATCCCTGGTACCGATAAAAACGAAAAAGACCAAAAAAAAAAAAAAATTTAGAAAATATTATAGTAAATGACACATTGTCATTAATCTCCCTTAAAATACTCCCCTCCCCACAACTGACTTATCAAATAGTTCTTACCATCTTCTAAAGCAGTGCTGGCAGTTGGTTTTCAGGATTGTCTTTATAAGGTATGGTAAAAAATACAGTGAATGCT